GGGTGCCTGGTCAGTCTGGGTGAGGGGCTGAGGGCTGTTTTCAGCTGGTCACACACTCTTCAGGGTGTGGGTCCCCACTGGGGTGCCTGGCCAGTCTGGGTGAGGGGCTGAGGGCTGTTTTCAGCTGGTCACACACTCTTCAGGGTGTGGGTCCCCACTGGGGTGCCTGGCCAGTCTGGGTGAGGGGCTGAGGGCTGTTTTCAGCTGGTCACACACTCTTCAGGGTGTGGGTCCCCACTGGGGTGCCTGGCCAGTCTGGGTGAGGGGCTGAGGGCTGTTTTCCGGCTGGCGAGTGACTGAAGCTTCCAACCGCTCCTTGTTTTCTTCTCTCTTTTTTTTTTTTTTTTTGGCCAGCTTTAGCTCTGGGGCCTTGCTGCTGAAAACATAGATACAATGTTGCGGTCCGAGCCCGGCTGAATGGAAGCCCTTTTCTGGGGTTTTGTTTAGCTTCTTATTTGCAACATAGTATATAGTTGCTTAGAGTTGCAACTGAGAGGCTGGCAAGTTAGGCGGGGAACGTTGGAGTCTGCAGCAAGCAAGCCTCCCTGCTCGCTTCAGTGCCTGGCTGCCGGCCGCCATCTTGGCTGACAGTTAATTTGCATATACTCACTGATTAGCCAATGAAAAGGGTAGCGGTCGTACGCCAATTACCATGTTTCTCTTTTATTAGTGTAGATAGAAATCCTGTTAGAGCCTGTGGAAAAAGATACCTAGAAACTGTGTATCTACAAACTAGATGTGTAGGTTGAATCTCAGGAGGGTTAACTCATTCCTTAAATGTTTTGACTTACATTGATTGGAATAGGATGCCATTAGATTAACATATTTTAAAGTAGGTAATCAATTTTGTGTAGAAGCTAAAAATCCTACAGCATTTTCAATGGAAATGATTTTCAGTTTTGTTAATGAATTTCTTTTGAGGTCTATTCTTTGACCTCTAGCATGAAATAATGCTAGCTAATGCCAAAGCTGTGACACTGAGAGCAGTTAACCATTTTTGATATATGAAACAAGACATCTAAGGGTTCTTAAAAGAAAAAAAAGGACTTTTCAGAGATGTAAGACTTATTCTTTACTTATAATTTTAAAAAAATGATTTAATTTGGCTCAGTGGTCTGACCTAACATAATTGTCCATAATAATTAATTTTTATTTCCAAAATGACAGTTCCTTTTATTAAGATCAGAGTTCATCTGACCCTTGAATTGGGTGCAAGAGGCAGGATAGCATCCTTTATTCACACTACACACACCCTAGATTCTGTGAAGCTTGCAGTAATTTGGCATATTGAGGAAAGGGGCAGCAGATAGTAAGGAAGCACATAGGGCATGGGAGCAGGGTAGAGTACTTGTGAACATTGGGTGCCTTATGGGTTGCATGTGGAACCTGAGATTCCACAGTAGTGTTCTGTGGGCCAATCTGGCTCATACATACATGTGGCCTGTATGTTTTGAAAAGAAATTTAATTAGTTGCCAAACTCTAAGAAACAAGAAATTCATGTAAGAATTTATAATTTTGGATTCTTAGAAAAATGGGAGGATCTGGCAATTCTGGGCTTGAATTTTGAGTGGCACAAACTGCTGCAGCTGTGTAGTGTCTCCACTAGAAGGAGCAAGTGTTTCAGGTACATGAATTCCAGTTTGCCAAGTCTCCAATGCTCCCCATTGCTTTTCAGACTCTAAAGCCCAGTTCACTTAATCCCCTTTGCTCCTTTATTCTATTTATCTGTTTTTGTAGGCAGTTGAGCCCAAGACTCCTGGTTTATTTGCTAGTAGGCTGTAAGACTGAGATAGTAGCTCTTTGCTGTTCCCTTCTTTCTAAATGTTAAGTTTATAAAATGCCATTGAAATTCAATAGACTGATTATATATTGGATCATCTTACTCAATAGGTTGAGATCTCCTCCTATGTTTTTAACCTAGAAATATCTATAAGGATAGTTTTCTATTCTTTGGTTCTTCTTCTTTCCTCTTACTTCTTTCTTCTTCTTTCTTCTTCTTTTCAGAGAGTGCCTAGGTAGTGTGCTTGATCAGACGGAGGGCTCTTGTCCATTTTAGTCCAAAGTTCTTACTGGTGATGCTCTCTGCTCTCAGGGCCTTGGTCTTGCTTATGACTTGAGCTTTTAAAGATGCAGCTGGGCCAAGGTAGGGATATTGAATCACCTCCAAATGTAAGGACTACAGTTATGTCAAGATTGTTGGCAAAAGTGGCATTAGGTACTCCTTAAAGGTGGAAATTTAGAGAAATGCCTAGGTATTCCCTGGTTATAACTAAACACATAAGATATTTATAAGCATACTGTTAGTCACTAGGATGATTGAAAAAACTTTTGGAAAAAAATTTAATACTTTTCTTCTACCATTCAGCAGGATAAATTCCAGCTGTGTTAGAGAATTAAATGTAAAAAATTCAAATTCTAAAATATAGTTGATATTTATCTGATTTTGGGGTAGATGAAGGACTTTCTAAGCATAAAGGCAAAAGAAGTCATAAATATGCTAAAGCATTGAGACTCTTCCTGTAGGAAAGGGCATCATCTTGTGCGTGGGTGAATCTATATCCACTTTTAAGCAATTCACAAAGGCGTCTTGTTTGCCTTTCTTTAAAAGCCTCTAGAGAAATAGTCTCTCTTGCTGTGTCTTTCTTTAGGCAGGGTATTCTTTCCAATTGATGTGTAGTCTGAATTCTTTAGGCTTAGTATAAACCTTTTCCTTTTTATATCTCTTTTCAGTGAAAATGAAACTTGACATGTTTTTTTATTCCTTTGGTTGTTCAAAACTGCAACAAACCCTTTTTGAATCTCTTGTTCCCTGGCTGAACAGACATGGGCCCAGTGGCCTTTCTGGGAACTCCAGGCTCTCTAAAAGTCTTCATATTTCCCTTCTTTTTTGAGGCTCCCATAGGAATAGCTTATTGTTAACATTACACATGTTAGTGGAATGATTGGGTCTATTTTTAAAAAATGAAAATTTGTTTTCCTAATTATTTGAAAATAAAAATCTGATATAACCATTGGGGAATGATAGGGAGGACAAGGGAAGGTCATCATGGCCAAAGTGTCACCTAACCTCTAATGATAATAGAATATTATAAATTTTCATTGATTTTGATTTCATTTATTTCTGTCTTAAGGGACAGTTGGGTTTCTTTGAGTATTGAATTATTTACACTTATTATTCCTCAATATAGCTAAATATTAAAATGTTTTCATGACTGAAAAAACTCAGATGATTTGGTGGATTTTTAATTATCTTTTTATTATTTTATTCTTATTTCATCATTGAAAACATTTCCAAACTCAGGTAACGTGGTTGGTTGACCTAGTTGTATTGACTTTGGGCCCCAGTTTTCTCATTGATTAATGGCAGTAATGCCTGACATACTAATAGATATAAA